ACTTGCAGTCCTCCTGCCTCAGCTTCCCAAATCACTGGAATTACAGGCAGTCACCTCCCACCTGGCTTTTCTCTTTCTCTCTCTCTGTTTCAGCCTCTTGTCTGTGTTTCTAACTTCTTGTTATGGAAAGAACAATAAATAGGGAAAGGATGGCAAAGGCATAAAGAATGGGAGTTTTTAACTCTTGTCATTCCTGTTTTGAAAACAAGAGTCAACAGTTGAGCCTCTGCCTCTGGTAGCCCTGACTCAGGACCTAGCAAGGCCTCTCTTTGAGAGCAGAGGTGGGGCAGGTGTAGGCAAGCCTACCCATGGCAGCCAGCTCAGTGACTGAGCATGTGGCACCTCCTTCCACATCACAACACTCAAGGCTATTGTGACACTGCCTCCACAGTGACCTCCAGTGACTTATCATATCTGTTCTGGAAGTCTCTGCACTTGACTTTCGCTGTAACTATTACCTGGGTCCCAATCTTCTTGGTCTCCATGTGTGTGTGTGTGTGTGTGTGTATACATATATATGTTTATATACCTATATATGTATATATATATATATATATAAAATGTCAAAAAGTAGCTTTCTTCTGAGTACTATCAGCCCCCAATCTCTTCCCACCTGTGTCCCACGCAGTTCTGAAAAGAACTTTATCTGAAAGCTAAAATTAGCTTCCCTTTAAAATAGATCTCAGATGATTTAAGTTTGTTGAAGTTTTTTTTTACTTAAAGAAAAGGTGATATTGAATAATTCTCCCTCAAATTTATGACACCAGTAGTTACAATTTGAAGTCTCCAGGCACTACTAACTATGAGTTAAACTTCTTAATTTGTTAGAGACTCTGTCTTTTCCCATCTCAGAAAACCCCAATTGATTGCATGATATTATACACCCTCCTAACTCTTTTCAGTATTTTAAAAAACTTCCTTGTTGAGAAAGTTGTTCAAGTGCCAATTGCAGAATCACTTTATTTCAAGGGCTTTTTGTTCATTTTGTTTTGTTTTGTGTCTGGTGGTGCACACTTTAGTCAAAGCTTCTCAGGAGGGTCGCTTGAGCCCAGGAGTTTGAGACCAGCCTGGATAACATAGCTGTCTCAAAAAACAAACAAACAAACAAAAAACCATAAACTCACATGTACTATAAGCCAATCATATGTATCAAAATTAATCTTCTGTTAATCTTAAATCCCAAATCTCTTTTAATTATATATGCAAAGTTCAGTACACAATTAAAAGATACATTTCATATTATATTTATTTTCTTCTATCCACAAATAAAAACATATATTACCTACATCATTATATTTGAAAATAGTCTGGAAAAGGTTATTTTCATGTTGAGTTGAAGACAGACAAAGATTTTTAAATTATATATTAGATATATATCCAAAGACAAATTAAGCCTTACATACTTTTGAAAAGAAATGGATAAAATATCCTTTATAGAAGATGTCTGCCACTGAAATGGAATCTCATTTATTATTACTAAAATGAGACAAACTTGAAATATTTGGCAGAAAGAATTTCTGGGCAATTTTTAAAAATGACATATCTCCACTAACATTACAACTGTCTTTCTTTATACTTTGACAGGAAAAGAAAGGAAGTTGGATAATTTATGTTAAATTGTATATTCTAAATGTACCTTTTACAAAGTTTCAGAATGAAACTGAATAAAAGAAAGAATTAAGTGTTTTAACAATCATGCAATCCTTTTGACTAGTTCAAATCCACTGTGATGCACTTCCAAACTAAAGGACTTATTACCATGGATTAATTTAAGAATGATGATGTGCCTTGATCCATATGACTTAGCTCTTAGAAAATTAACTTTATGGTCAGAAAATTATAAAGAATAAAATGAAAGAAAAGACTGTAGCTTGGGACAATGTCTGGATTTCATATTATTTTTGTTCTGGGTATCTGAACTGCCTTCAGTATGGCCACGTGTTGAAGCAAATTGAAAGCTCTTCAATTGCCAAATCAAGGAGACACTTCACATGTAATTTTCTCATTGTGTAATATATTTCCTGTCATGGTATCATGCTTTTTATTTTTTTATACCTTTATTTTATTTATTTATTTTTATGTGGTGTTGAGGATTGAACTCAGGGCCTCGCATGTGCAAGGCGAGTGCTCTTACTGCTGAGCCACAACTCCAGCCCAGAATCATGCTTTTTAAATAACACTTTTTTTTTTATACAAACCACTGAAGTGTCTTGAATGTATGTAAATCTGTTGAAATAGTCTTTGCCTTTTGAACTTCTAACAAAGAAAAACTAATACACACTAAATTTATTATTTTGTTCACTACTTATAAAAACAATTGGCTTTGAATGGATATTTGTGTGTGTGTGTGTGTGTGTGTGTGTGTGTGTGTATTTGTATATGTCAAATGGTAAAATGCTTAGCTTTGGATCTCGTACTCATGCTTTCGGAAAAATTTGGAGCATCTGCAAGTATTCCTCAGTTGCTCTGTAAGAGTTAGGTTACTATTTCAAAGTGAGTACATAGGCGGAATTGCAACCCTAAATTGCCTGTCATCAACCCTCAGAGAGCGAGGTCAGAATGATGGACCAATGAAAAATTGCAGTTGTCCAACCCTGGACATCATTTTGAGTTTTGCCTTTTAGTTTTCACTTTTTTTCTTCTACTAGATTACTGTACTTACTATTTTCCTATTTTTCTTACCTTTTGTAGGTCCTTATTTTTAATCTGTCCTATAGGAGTGAACTAGTGAAATCATAAGAGGCAGGGACATAGCAAGTGTGACTTTGTGTTTAGTCTTTTAACCAGGTTGAGCCTCAGTTTTTCTCATCTGCAAGATGGGAATATACCACTTACCCTGCATTATTGTGTGATAGTTAGTGACATTGTGCATAACAGCATTCCCCTTAGTTTTGTATGTTTCAAATTTTCCTTAAAGTTCTTTTACGAAGCCCATACTGTTGTCACTTTTCCTCTCTCAGTTACCATTGATTCGACTCAGGTCCTCATCTCCTCCACTCTTGACACTGCCTACTCTGCTTTCAGTTTTGCCCCTTCAAAACTCTCAGTCCCTTATAAATCTGTCATAATGGCTTAAAAGTTCTTAACTAAGTATCAGTTTTCTGAGTCTTTTAAATTTCCTAACTGCATAAGAAAGCAAAAGCCATTGGAATATAAATAATATTTACTATTACTAATTATAGACTACTAGATTTATTGAATTTTAAGCTAAACTCATTCTGAATATCTGAACATCAGTCACTTAATCCTCAAATAACATTATGTATGGACTATCATCTCCATTTTACAGATGAAGAGACCAAGAGAAAGAGAAGTTTAATAACTTGCACAAGTGTACATACCTAGAACATGGTGGGGTCAGAATTCCAACTCTCACTCCCATCAGAAAGTAAAATCCCAGGCTTTTCTTACATGTACAAGGGCTCAGTGATCTGCAGCCTGGCTCACCCCCTGCCACTCTTCTTGCATTTCCTGCCCTGCAATGCATTTTCTAGAATCACTCAGCTATGCATTGTAGCTCCTCGAATGTGTCATATTCTTCCTCACTCAGATGATTCCTCTGCCTCTTTGGCTTTGTCTCCTCTTGCCAGCTGCCTCTGGGACACTGGCTCTCTTACTGCTTCAGTACACTGGCCTACTTCACTCTGGGCCATTCTTCTAGGAAAGAGCCTTTCTGGGTTTGGCCTCAGAAGACCTTTTTGGACTGACATCCTGGAGCTACCATTTATTTGCTTCTAGACCTTCTGATCTCTTTGAACCTCCGTTGCTTCCTCTATAAAATGATGGTAAAACTTGATGTCCAAACTTCATAGCACGTAGGATTCTATGAATAAAAGAATAACAGATGTCCCTTGAAAATGTGGTTCTGGAACCAATGGAAAGGAAAATGACACATGCCTCTTTTGAAGTGTTTTTCCGTTTTTTTCTTCAATTTTCCACATTTTGACTTTCAAGAGCTCTGTATAATTTGATGGTGACCACAGCAATTAGTCTCTTTGTCATTGGTGATCCATGGCGAACATTCTCCCTGTGTTCTTTATGCTGTACCACATTTCGTAAGTGTTGTTTTAGGTCACTCGAGTTCTTTTCAGATTGTGCATGAGCAAACAGACAGGTCAGTTGCACTATTTTCAGTGAAAGTAATGTTCAGTAAGCTTTCTGTGCAGAATAACTGCTTACACTTGATTCAAGATCTTTGGCTGTCTAGATCAAGAAGTAGCCCATGAAGATAGGGACATGCTGCTGTTGAACTATTTATGCTAGGAAAAACCAAGAAAGAATTGCAGGCCCAAGTTTCTCACTTTCTTCTAAGTAGAACATTGCACAACTTTTCTTGACTTTCTCTATCCCTCCAAGCCACGTCATGCTGACACCTTGCTCCTATATCGCAGGCCTGGTGTGGCTGAGATTGCTGTAGCAACAGCACACATGGGGTAACATTCCCCTGTAACTATGGTGGCTGAGACATGAGTCAGTTGTAAAGTTTCATGGGGTTTTTATTAGTATATGATGCAGTCCCATGTCATCTATCGTTCCTGGCTTGTCCAACACTTCCAGAGGATGATGCAGAACACGCAACGCTAATCATCTTCAAATACATGGGCCAGGGTCCTCTCACAAAAGCTACTGAGGCTGCTGGTTCCTTCCACAGCACCCCTGACTAATAATTATACTAAGGGGGAAGAGTAAAACCCAGGATCCAGCACTGGAACTGTTTCTACCATAGTGTACCCTGTTAGCCCCAAAAGGCAACAGTGACACTGATGGATGATGGAGTCCCTCTTTTCACCTAGGTAGCTGGATAATGGTTCAAAATCCAAGAAGATGCATTTTCAACCCAGTGCCTGAGAAGAACATGTGCTGAAGAATAAGGATGGAATTATTGTAATTCTCTATGGGGATTTATGAAACTTAACATTGGAACTTAACATGGAATATTGATTAAAACTAGTCGTAGAGTTGTCGATGACTTCTAACACAGGATTTGGTTTATTTTTCAGACATGGAGATGACTTGATTGTGACTCCTTTTGCTCAGGTAAGCATACCTCGGTGAGCAGGCCGACTTCTCACAGATCTGGAAATTGGTTGGGGAGGATTTGTTCTATTGCTCGATTTAGTATTAAAGTAAATGAAATTATAAATACAAATTGTGTGGTTCATTCAAGTAATTCATAGGCAATGCTAGAAAATGTGACTTTGGCCCTAGAGATCTGTTTTCTTTAAACTGTGGTAGACCCAAAGATTGTCTTTGCTTCAAATAACAAATTACCCTAGAGATAGAGAAGATAAATAGGCCCATATTTCTTAATTGATACAGGCATTAGAAGCAGAAGGCTATATTGTGGATTAAATTACATTTAATAAAATGAGGTACATGATCATTGCTTGAAATTCAATCATACAGTTCAACCTGATACCTTATTTACTCCTTTATACATGTGTCATTGGCACAAAGATTTAGCCCAGTGATCTGTTTGTTTATAGCATACAAATCATGAAAATACTTTGATCACATGACATAGATGCAAGAAGGTGATGAGATGATTTGAAGTATTCTGGAGTGATTCTCAACCCTAGATGCAAGCGAGACTCACCTACAATACTCATCCCGATGCCCAGGCTTGCATGCCTGTAGATTTCAAATAATCTGGAGATCCAAGAATTTTTATTTTTCAAAGGCCACAGTATTTTTACTGTGTGTAAGAGAAGTTGACAGCCCCTGATGTAGATAACTAGGGACAGAATAGGATGGAACTTATTTAAACTGGGTCATGAAGCAGATTTAAAATCAATACTGACTGAGAAGAAATGTTTAAATGTTGAAATACAAACAGTGCTGAGAAGTTATACAAATTATAACTGGAGGTAGGTCAGAAATAGATGTAGCACCTTGAGCAACTCATTTAACTTTTCTGAATGACTTTGAGGAAGGCACTGAACTTTTCCAAGTCTTACTTCCTCCTCTGTTAAATTATAATTGCAGGAGTACCCACCTCATAAGATGTTAAAAGATTAAAATAATACTGGTCATGCAAAATATTCACAAGAATTCTAAAAATTTAATGTTTATTGAATTTTAATTAAAACTGGTTTAATTGTATAGAAATGAAATTGCTCTTTTCTTTCTAAATGTCATCTTAGGTATAATTTTTTTAAATGAATAATAATAATGTTGGAATGATGTGATTTTGCAGTTTTAATTTTTAAAAAATTTCTAAAATAATTTAGACCACAATTGTAATTAATTTATAAATAAAATATCTAATGGTGATTTTAAAAATTAATGCAGGTGGGCTAGGGTCATATCTCAGTGGTAGAGCACTTGCCCGGCATATGTGAGGCACTGGGTTTGATACTCAGCACCACATAAAGATAAATAAATAAAGGTATTGTGTCCATCTATAACTAAAGACTATTAAAAATAAAATAAAATTTGCAGGGATAGCCACATTGCTCTCAAGATGTTTCTGCATACAAACTTTAGAAAAATTAATATAAGCAAAAGGAAGAAAAATTCCCACAATTCACAATCCCCAAACAACTACTGCTCACATTTTTTTTCTTACTTTCTATCCATTTAGGTTTGTTTTTTCTGGGTGTTACGACTTTCCTTATGATCTTAAAAACAAGCCACTATTGTCCAAAATGGTCAAGGACCTTCCTCCAACCCATCTCATCTTCGTCTTCTTGAGAACCCATTTCTTTAGGCCTGAGTGCAGCCCCGAAACATGAAAGGATCCTGCCCTATTATTTCTAAATTATGGCCTTTTGGGTTTTGAAAAGAATAAAAAACTAAATTACAAGAGAATTTAGGAATTCACAAAAAGATATATCCCATTTTGTTGGATGGAGCTGAACCTAGAACATCTTCGTTAGACCTAATTTTCAGGAAGGATCTTACAAATCCCTCTATGATTTATTCTAATGTGAAGACACCGTTAGAGTAAAGTTTTTGCTAGGGGTCAACCTGAACTGTCTTCTACCTCTGGTGGCTTAGACTTTTCCATATAATTTCAGAATCTCTTTGAGCCCCAGAAAAGGTTCCAACTTTAATTAGTTTGTATACTTCAATTTCAAAACTGAAATTCTGTTTTGAGTATTTCCTGGTATGAGTATTCTGGTATGAGTATTTCCTTCCGCACGGAGACTTGAGTGTTGAGAGCGACCCTACTGCCCTTTTCCTCCCACAAGAATAACAACTTGGCCAGAGTTCCTGAGGGCCCAAGAGTACCAAGGAAGCACAACACTGCTGAATACTGGAGTCAGCCGTCTCTGGCCTTCTAATTCCACTGTTTGCAATTATGACAACTTTGTAAAACTCTAAGTCTCCTGAAATTCTCATCTGGAAGTCTGTAATATTGAAAGAAGTGGAATCTTTGATGAAGCAAAAGACAGGAAACCCCCACCCAAACATTATCCTGACTCCCTGGGGAGTGCCTCACATCAGTCAGTCTAGAGAGACATGCCCAACCCATGAAGACTAGGCAGGAATACCCACATTATTTTGCCTTCTCTGAACAAAATACAGTACCGAGAATACTTTTAGGAAACAATATAGTAGTTATTAATACTGTAGAACATTAATTATAGTAGTAGGACATTACCAATATTTTTTAAAATATTTCACCCCACAGAGATTTTTATGATCTCATTACAGTCCCTAAGTTTGCTGGACCCACCAGGCCCTCTCCGTGAAGCAATGGAAGAAAAGAGTGGTCTCGTTTCAGGTGCTTTTATTCCCCCAGCATTTCCTTGGACTTCATTAATTTAAATGGCAACTAGCATCTTTCTAGATATCTGAACTCTTATAGTCATTCATAGGAAATTGCCAATAACTTTCTGACATAACCAAAACAATTTCATATGGTTCAACAAAAACATAAGTGGAAAGAGATTTTCTTTTCTATCAAAATAAACTTTTTATCTTGTACATAATTCTAGGTTGGCTCCAGCATTTCTTCTGAAGTTAAAACCTGGATCAGGAATACTTTCACTTCATGCAGGATACACCCACCCCACAAGAATCTCAGTCTGTGTTTTACCGCCACCTAGTGGCTTAAGGTGTACCTGAATTGAAAAACAATCCTCAAAACTCTCCTTGAGGCTGTTCATTACTGATTCATGAAGCCCACATTTTTCTGTCAATTTTGGTAAATCCTACTGATCAATAGATGTTTAAGAGCACATAAAGAAGTTTGAGAGCTCTTTATAAATAACATCCCACCCCACAGGCCAGTATACGGATCATCTCTGTCTACAATTTTTCTGTAGTACTATCAGTATTTCTTTCCTAAGGTGTGTGTTTCTCATCATTCCGGAGGTATTTTTGATCTTGTTCTGTTACATTTTACTTGTAGGAGAAGAAGAGAAAGCAGTGACCTTAATTTTCTGCCACTGAGCCACGTGGAAGAAACCTCAGGGATTTCTTTGGTTAACAACATTAAGAAGGGAAGAAAATTATAGGGGCAATAAAGCTCTGACTATATCTCTTAGAGAGCTGAATTCATGGGGAGTGAGAGCAGACCTGGAACAAAAGCAAGAAATAATGGAACCTTAACTCAGGGGCTCCAGTAAAACTATCTCCATTTCTTCTCCCCAGCAGCAGTTACCTACCTCTTTATGTTCTGCAAAGACAAACCCAGTGATATTTAGGATAAGGATTCCCCAGGAAGCACCCCTTAAAAGATCTGTCTGAAACTTTTATTTATACTTTGGCTAAGGATAATATTTAACACTTAATCTAAAAATTTATAAAATACTGCTTGTCCTACCACTGAGAGAGAGAGAGAGAGAGAGAGAGAGAGAGAGAGAGAGAGAGAGAGAAACAAAGCCACAATGACTTAAGATTTGCACACACAAGGAATGATGTATCCTCAGGGCTATTTACTACAGCAGTGTTTGTAAAAGCAAACTGTAAGACACAACCTCAAAGTCAGTCTCAGGGACTGGCAACTGGATGCCTGAAAGAGGGACTGGGATGGGGGAACTTTTTCTTCCATTTTTATTTTTTGTTTGTTTTGAGATAGTTCATACATATGAAAGAATATATCTAGTGATTATATAGAGCATAAATCATCATCATCATCATCATAATGAACAGTTTAAGAAATAGAACAATATGAATATTTTAATGCCACTGAAGTATCCCTTTCCATGTTCATCTATCGCATAAATAACAATAATTTTGATTTTGGCTTAATTATTGAGATGAGACTTTTTGCTTGATAGTTATGTTTCTACTTAAAGTCTACAGCAAGCAAATGTATGATTTATTCAAAATAAATACATAAAACTTAAAATCCCAAACAAAATAATCCAGTTTAAAAAAAATTAAAAAATAAAAAACAAAACAAAACAAAAATCCAGTTTAATATCTGTATTATTATAACACAGGCAAAATTTCTCTACAGAAAATATTTCTTTTATGAACTAATGTTTCCTTTCATGAATTAATTTCCTCTCAAATGAGCATGGAATATGATTTACCTACAATATCATTTCTATTTACCAGCTGTCAAATGCAGTTGAATTTACAACAGCATATTATGATAAAATCCTCAGAATTCTGAAGTTAAAATTTTTGCCTAGAAAAGGGATCAATTAGCTGGTGCAATAATCTTATTTAAAATGCTTTTCAAATGTGTTCAGTATTCACTTCTTAAAATATAAATTAAGTCTGCATGATTTAATGACAGTGGATCATTTATCCAATTTATTTCTGCATCAGTCAAGATTCCATGCCTGTTGAAAGACATCGTAGTCTGATGTCAGCAGTTAGCTATTTGAATATTCTGTCATAGGCAGTGTGACCTTTCAGAGCTGTGGGTTGTTTATGTGTGGTAATGAGCCACGATTTTCCAGTGACTGAGTTAATCATGGTTGGCTCCTTAGGAAGCACCACAGATTCCTTCAGGGGAAATGCTGTAGGTCACTGTCCCAATGCACAAACTTCCATTGATCAACACAAATTAATGTCAATTTTTTGTTTTTTGAAGTCTGAAACGTTTTTGTCTTGGAAAAAAATATAAACTGACTCTAGATCCATGCCAGATGAAAAAAAAAAACAAACTCTGGAGACAATTCTGGAGCCCTTAGAGCAATTAGAATTTGGGGGGCCCCTTGTAGTACCACTCATAGTCACTAAATAAATTCCCTGTGTGTGTGCCAAATCATTAATCAAGTGAAATGCTACCCCAATGAAATCACACACACTGAGGGCTTTTTCTTGACACCTAACCTGTCATTTCTTCTAATTCACACTCCAATCCTGTGAGGTAAATATCAGTTACAGTTTGTATTTAAGGAAACTGAGGTATAGAGAGGCTTACATAACTTGTTCAGGTTCACACATTTAATACTTAACAGATTCAGGCAGCCTGGTTTGTTGTGCAATACCCTAGTACTTACCAAGACACATTTCAGATAAATTTAGCATTCTGGTTCACATCCAGAACACCTATAATTCCATCTAATTTAGGATCCACCCTGAGGAAATGAGCCCATTCTAGGAAAAAGCCAGGGGCAGTAGATTCGTGCAACTTTTCTCTCCTAAGCTCACATCCATTCCTTGGCCACCTTCTAGTCCCGACTGGAATTAGGAAAGGGGGTTATCAGAGGTGGTGGCATCGTTTTCCTGCCTTGTCATATGTGTAGATATATTTCATCTAGGTATTCATTCATACGATGCCATTTTATTGAGTATTTTCTGTGTTCCAGGAAGTGTGTGTATGTATGTATGTGTGTGTGTATATATGTATATATATATATATATATATATATATATATATATATATATATACACTCTCTCTCTCTCTCTCTCTCTCTCTATATATATATATAGAGATAGATAGATAGATAGATAGATAGATAGATAGATAGATATAGATATAGATATAGAGAGAGCAGTTGCATTTTATGTGAGAAATACTTTCTTGGGGACTTCTTGTCATTCACAGTCTTAACCAAGGAAAAGACCATCTGTGCACTAGCTGGTACAGACATATGGCAAAGCTGAAAAGCGATCTAAGATTTACTTAGCTTACTGACTGCAAGTTATGGAACTCTTGGTTAATTCTTTTTTCTTTCTTTCTTTCTTCTTCTTTTGTTTAGTTGTAGATGGACACAATGCATTTATTTAATTTATTTACTTTTATATAGTGTTGAGGATCGAAACCAGTGCCTCATACATTCTAGGCAAGCACTCTACCACCAAGCCACAACCCCAACCCTCTTGGTAAATTCTTAAAAAGAATTTTGGAATAATTTTTATTTTTATCCTTAAAGTAAGCTTCATTAGTATTTTATATTACACTATTTCATATATGCATAAAATGCAACACACATGTTGCTTGGGATATTATGTTAGTGACTTGGGAATACAGGAATGCTATGGAGACTGCTGCTGCTGTGACCACATTTGTAGATAATGAAAAGGGATTTCTGGAAAATTTTGAAAGTGTGATCTCTGTGGATTTCATATGGATGCATACAAGCTTTGCTAAGTGCTAGTAGATTCTTTAGTGGTATATGAAATTAAGTTTTAAGCATTATCAGATTTCCTCTTAACAAACCATTCTTAATTGCATTTAAGATGACCCCAGTTTAAGACATCTCAAGAATTTCTTTTTGTTGTAGGTCTTAGCCAGCCTGCGAACTGTACGAAACAATTTTGCTGCATTAACTAATTTGCAAGATCGAGCGCCTAGCAAGTAAGTTATTCTTTATTCCCTTTTTTTTTTTTTTGCTGAACTTTTAAAGAATGTCATCTCAATTTGAATTGAACTCAAGACAATATATTAAATTTCTCTGAGTCACTGCCATGCTATCTAACCATGGACATTAACAAGACATCAGATGATACCCTGCTAATTCACTATAAATACAGAGTGGTGGTGATTCTAACATCAGGGATGAAACAGTATGACAAATCAATACGGTGATTCTGTCAGAAATTACCTGGCGTGATTTGTCTTCTGGCCAGTTATTTATACTCAAAGTAACTTTATAGTTTTGGCTTATTTCATAAATTAGCCACAGGCAAATAATCTCATCACGCCTTAATGATATCTCAAAGTCATACTGTTAATTCTAAGACAACAATTAACTGGAAAAACACCAGATCTCAACAAAGATCTTTGATTCTCCTGCTGTGATTGACTCTCTGAGCAGCAGCATTCATGAGGCAATTAATAAAATTGAGATTGATGTAATAACAATAGAAGTGTTTGAGGGAGGGAAACTTGAAATGGAAAATGATTTAAAATTGGGGGATTTTGGAGCTGGGGCTGTAGCTCAGTGATAGAGTGCTTGCCTAGCATGTATGAGGCACTGGGTTCGATCCTCAGCACCACATAAAAATAAAAAACAAATAAAATAGAGATTTTCTGTCTATCTACAACTACAAATTTTTTTTTTAAATTGGAGGACCTTGATAAATCTAAAAAATCGAAAAGAAGGAAGTAAATTTTGCAAAATTAAATGAGAAACTGATAAAATATTATTCTAATATCTGTTATTTTTTAAAGTATTATTTATAATAAAGTGTTAAGATTATCAGCCTGGAAGAATTTTCCAAAGCAAAACAAAAAAATCAAATCAATATTAAGAGGACAGTGAGTAGAAATTTATTAGGGATTATGGTATATCTGAGTCTATAATATTTTATACTAGTTACTACTTCTTAAAGAACATGAAAAAACTGAACTTTTCCACTCCATAATAACATAATTTACCTCTACAATCCGCATTTCCCTGATTCACTAGAAGCTATTATGCAAGTACTTCCTGTGATAGAGAAAGCTTTTCTAAAAAAAAAAAAATAGCAAAAGTGCCACAACACAAATAATTGAGATGGAACCTAGAACCCTGGGCCGATTGTCTTTCCCTCAACTTGAACATTTACCTTCTCCTTCTTCTTTTCCACTTGGCTAACTGATTCATTCTTCTCATCACAGCTTAAATATAATTGCTTTAGGGGCACTGTCCCTCACACTGCCAGATATAGACACACAGTGACCAGCCCTAGCTGGCTGGCATGTCTTTCCTACTCCGTCTGGTTGCATCCTGTTATTCAAGCACATTTCTCCCTGTGCCCTACTTGCCTGATCAATTGGTTGATCCTCAGCAATGTCAGTTCCCCAAGAGCAGGGGTGTGGCTGGTTCACACTCCCAGTGCCTATCAGAACACAAAATAATTCCTCTGTTTTAGTCAGATTTTTCATTGCTATGACCAAAATACCTGACACAAACTATGGAAGAGGGGAAACTTATTTGGGGCTCACTGATGGTTTTAGAGGTCTCAGTCCACAGATGGCTGACCACATAGCTCTGGGCCCAAGATGAGGCAGAACATCATGGTAAAAGGGTGTGGAGGAAGAAAGCAGCTCAGAACATGGCCAACAGGAAGCAGAGAGAGCCAAAGAGCTCCATTTACCAGAGACAAAATATAAACCCCAAAGGCACACTCCCAGTGACCAGTCTTTGCTAGCCACATCCTACCTGCCTTCAGTTACCACCCAGTTAATCCATTTCAGTGGTTTAAATTACTAATTAGGTTACAACTCTCATTTCACCTCATTTGCATTTTCTCACACATGAATGTTTGGGGGACACCTCATTTCTAAATCTCTGCAAATGCTTGTTGACTGAAAGTGTAAAGTGGCCGTTCAGCATTTAAAGCCTGAGGGTGTGCCATGAAGAAACCATTTATCTCCAGTTGTGTTGTCTATACAACATGGCCAGTTGTAAAACATCAGGCTGACCTCAATAGCCCTGAGGCCTTTGCTAGTCAGTAGGTTATGGGTACAAACATAACCTTCTAGAAATTCTTAGCTCTGAAGGAAAAATGAAATTATTGGTTGCCACTAAACTTGCAGTCTCAAATTTCAGTAAGAAATCTAGGTCTTGTCTCTAAAAGGCAAACAAGAAACTAATGCCCTGTAAATTTCCTTTGGATGTGGTCACCTGAGTGCAAGCATTTAATATAACAGACACTTAATCAAACAGGTGTGAAGGTATCACACTGGTCCTTCTATCTCCAAAGAAATGTCCTCCGGCCCATTCTATACAAGGCAGAGGTTCTCAACTGATTTACAGGCACATAATATATTAAAATGGAAAGGAGGGAGTGAGAAAATCATAGCTAACACCTGAACTTACACCTGCTTTGACTAACTATGCAATGCCCATGGAGACATTGAATTACAATATCATCTGGTAGACTGTAAGTGAAAGCCAGTGCATGGTCTCCTTTTTGGTCAATGCAGATTTGTACCTCCTTTATTAATTCAAACCAAATCAGCTTCCTGGGGTGTCGGAATAGTAGAATTCAATCTCAACACAGCTGGACTCTGTTGTGCTTGGTATTAGCAAAGAGGATGTCACTGGTACATGGCATGATGACTCTGAAAGAATCAGGATTCAATTGCCCTGCACTCCCTGTGCCACTAGAATGTTTCCAAGCTCACTGTTGGAATTTGAAGAAGACCTGTGCTGCCTTTCACAGACTACCTTTTTATTTGCTTTAGGAAAGGAGTCTAGGAAGAACTCATCTAAGAACTTTTTTTTTTTTTTAATTTGCTTTAGGGTAGGTGTCTAGGAAGAACTCATCCAAGAGCTCTGGTGTTAGCCCACTAATGGTTTCTTGTGATCTTCTTGCTCTTTTGTGCCCTTTAGACTTTTTTTTATTCCAAGAATAAATTGTGGCTCATTCTTTTTAAAAATAATCTGTCAAGTTACCATGAATTCAGTGATTAATATTTTCTGCTTGTTACTTATCAAGATGTCAAGTTCCCAAGTGTCAGTGGTAGGATTGATAAAATGAGAATTAGTAGCAAGTCAACCATTTGGTTTTCCAAAACTATAGAAAAGGATAAATGTTTATTTGTATTTTCCCAGACAAAAAGTCAATGTTTTCAAAATTTTCACAGAGCAAGGACTAAAAAGCATTCTCAGACATCAATATTTAAGTCATTTGAATAAACTCTAGTCTATAACTATATCATCCTGAATATCCCCAAACTCATCTGAATAATAAACTCTCAGCAAGAAGGTAACTACTAGTATAGAAAACAGAGCTATTTCAAAGCAGCAGTTTAAAACATTGACCTTTTTTAAATGAAGCATTTATCAAGTTCAAATTTATATTTTTAATTTCTTCTCTTTCTCTCACTTCTTTGGTTCTGTGGATCAACCCAGAGCCTTACACATGCTAAGCAAGTGTTCTACCACTGAGCTATATCCCAGCCCCGACTTTTATTTTTCATAATTAAAAAAAAACTAAAATAAGTCAGAAGTGAATCATGCTGTATTTTCAATCAAACCCAAAAATTCAATCCCAAGCTGACACCAATAAACTTAAGAGCAATGATCCAGAGCCAGATGCTGAATAGAACGAGCGAGAATTTACAAAACACCAAAGTGCTTTCTGTAAGCATCCCCCCAGACTTGCTAGGATAGTCGTCATCTTCAGCATTAGAGAGTCTGCTGCCAACTGCACATCTGTGTGGTTATCCATCGGGCTTCCACAAAAGCATCCCAAGCTAAGACAAAGAGTAGAGTACAGCCCTAGCTTCACATTACCTCAAATCTCTGCTGGCTTGGAACAGATTTTCAACTTCCCAAAGATTTGTTTTTGGTAAAATGAGAACAATGATTCTACCAGCCTTGAGGCTTTTTGTCAGGTTTAAGTGAGATAATTCATTTAAAGTGCTCATTTAGTATAGCCTGTGACAGACACTAAGTGCTTATTAAGTGTAGCCACTAGAAGAAATACACACACACACACACACACACACACACACACACACACACCCTCAACTATTTTACAGATATCCCTTAATGTATCTATTTTTAAAGTGTTTTTAAAGATGGCAACAAGTTAAAAGCTATCAATTATAAGTAACGATTTTATAAAGTTATATTCCAAAAAACTTTGGATAATCCATAAATGATATTCTTTTCAACATAATTTATTGAGCACTGATTTAATACCAGATACATTGAAAGCTTTTAATTTGTTGATATATATAATTGATAGCTTTTAACTTGTTGCCATCTTTAAAAACATTTTAAAAATAGATACATTTAGGGATATCTGTAAAATTGTTGAGGTTGTGTGTGTGTGTGTGTGTGTGTGTGTGTGTGCGCACGCGCGCGCACGTGTGCTGGGCTTTGAAGGGAATATGAGTTAATCATTATATATTACACACATACATATATATATATTTTTGTTTGTTTGTTTTTGTTTTTGTTTTTTTACCTCAGGGTATTTATAATCATCTTGTGGAACCTGGCAAACATCTGTTAAAAAAAATAGGAAAGAATACTAGATGGAATCTATTTAATACCTTAGGTTTACAATATTTCTAAAATCTCTATAGCATATGTTTATACAACTTGTCAATATACCTCTCTAACACATGTATCAGAAATGTTTCTCAATGTAAGAAAATAGGAAAAAAAAATTAAATACCTTCTCTAAGATACTTTAGAAAGAACCATGCACTTCTGATAATGTATGAGCAATTATGAGGCTTTATGTCAAAATCAAAGATTCTTAGCACGGTTTTAAGGAAAACAGTGATAATTTGACTACTTTTCTAAATTCAGAAAGTCTGTGTTAGCTCTGTAAGCCCTAGCTTAATTGAATATAGTCAATTAATAAGAATTTCCACTTTTATCATGTTCCTGTGACATGAACATCATAATCTTCCCCAATGTCTATCACCATGAGACTTAACTTTTTTAAAAATTTGATACGTATGATCTGAGATATAGTAAAAGGGTCCCCAAGAATTGACTGAAGGAAATCTTCATTTGCATCTCCTAACTTAAAAATAATCCTTAAAATTAAAATTTCATATCTAAAATGACTCAGCACGTACTCAAATCAACAAGGACCACATACTTACTGCTTTGTATTTTTCTTTCTTTGTCAGAAGATCACCAATGTGCAACCAACCATCCATCAACAAAGCCACCATAACAGGTAAGAGAGATCTGCGGACTTATTCTCCTTGTGTCCAGGAAGAATCTGTATCTTTCAATAGTCAGCATCACATTAATGCTGATTCTATACTCCAATTCTAAAATGTCAAAGAAATAAATTTTTTCTTCTTTATGTTATCCTCACTATCATTGATCTTACAATTTTTCCATTTAAGCTATTCCTTGGAAAACCTGTTCTAATGTGCCCCATTCTTAACCACTTGACTTTATATTGGAACTCACTTCAGCTTTGTTCTAGGCATTTGTGTTGCAGGAGACAGAGTTACCCTCAGAATATCTGCCATTTTTGTTCCAGGCTTGGTTATCTGCTTCATCTTCATATATGGTAGTTTAGTTTAATGAAAGTAAAAGTATAAATAAGAGAAATGTGTGTTTTGTGCTGGAAGGAACATATTACTATTCCAGTAGTTCTTATGGGAACTCAGGTTGCTGAGTATAAATACAACTTGTGAGGGGAGAGAACATGTTATTACACAATACAGAAAAGTTCAGTGTGATGAGAAAAGGGTCTGTTATGCCAGATTCGTGAGACCCCAGTAGACCTCCAGGAGCCGAATCTGATGCAAGCACATAAGAGTCTTTATTGCAAGCTGGAACCTGGATTCACAACCAATCCCGACGCAGCCGTCCCAGGGAGTGAGTCCCGGTCCTTTGTTCAGTGAGATTTTATAGGATTTGGGGGGATACTCTATGTGTCACAACATCACACAGCAAATCATTCCATATCACGGGAAAATCAAAAACAACAACTCTTAGCATTGATTAGCACATTCACCGGTGGGAACAAGTTGGGTAGGGGTGATTGGCTAGTACAGGAGGGGGATTCCTTTGAACTGATTGGTTTAGGCCACGAGGGGTGTACGTGCTAAACTACATGGTTTCCCAACATGTTATCAACCACCATAAACTACTGGGGGTTCATCTGGCATTCCAGGTATTTTCCCTGTCTCATGCTGATTGGTGGTTGCTAGGGGGTTGCCATGGGTCCTCACCTAGCCCAACTGAGTCAGGGACACCTGGTGCCTCAGACCTCTCCTGTTATTTACAGACAAACAACTCAGCCGGGTGGGTATGTGCTTAGGAGTGCTCTGTGGGTTTTTCCAAGGACAAGGGTCAGGCCCCCTTCCTTAGGACAGGCCTTGAGGTAGAAGCTGCTATTATTTATTTATTTTTTAAAAATGGAGTCACATTAGTTTCTCAGGTCCACAAATGTTTGGGAAAGACAAGTAGAAGAAAGGATGAGGGAAAGAAAAGGCATAAAAATATATTATCCCAATGCCTATTGGTCTGATTTAACCAGGAGACTTGACCTGAACTGAACCAAAAACAGAATGAATGATCTCATTTTGCTGAAGCTGAAACCAAATTGAACCTCATTTAATCATTTCTCAAAACCCCAATTGATTCATTGAAATAATTGCCTGGAAAAGAAAACCTATGATTTCTAAAATTATTACCAAAAGAAAATTAACATACTCTCCAAACTAGACCAATACTTCATCTTGATTCAAGTGTCTTCTTAGAACCCCAACCCTTAATAAGGAGCTTCTTATTAAATTTTTAGTGAATACACATTGCTCGAAATTTAACTTTGTCATGTCCAGTCAACTGGTTGCCTTTGTAGTCACCACATCAGAGTTGATTCTGAAACAGTAGTTAATGTTATCTTCTTATCTGAAAGTCTACCAAATAGCACTTGTATTTCAATGACTATTACATTTTTTGTTCTTTTTTCCGTGTTTCACTTTACAAATCTTGTTGGTAATGACTTTCCATAGTATATATATTCATTTCATAGTATACATATGGTTTACCAATTTTTTTCTTGACATTGACCAAGAGATCAACAGTAAAGGATTTCTAAATACCAGAATAAGTTATTTTAGGAACAAAAACCACATTGAACCTGGTCTCCAGCCCTACTCCAGGAATTACAGGTACCCCTGTGAACAGGAGCTACCTTCCCCCCACCCACTTTTGCAATAAGCAAGACTGACATTTTGGTTTGAGTACATTGTGTGCTATTTTGGTCTCTTGGCATTTGTGTGTTTGTTTTAGTTTGAGATTGCATATGAGCTTGCCTCACAGATGGGGCAGCATCTTCCCAGAAGAACAGCTTTAGAACTCCTTTGTGTCCTGCACAAGATGTTTGGGTGTTCAGTGGTCAGAGCAGCTGCCAGCCACCTTGGCAGATGACCAGCTGCACTCAGAGACCACAGACATGATCTTACACATAGGTGAGAAACCCCATAGAAGCTCCCAGAAACTTTTACATAATATTGAATGAAGCCCTGGAGAGGGAACTAAGAGACACTGGAATTGGGCAATTAAGGCTAATGGGACCTCATTTGTACCCAATAACTCCTGACCTGAGGACTACAGAAACTTCCCATGTAGGAAGGAAGAGCAATTAGCTGTCATTAACTGCTTGGCAGCTGGGCTCCTCACAAAGCCCAACAGGAAATTGCCTGGCTAGTGAAAGGAAGTCTTTTTTCTTGTCCAAATATTGCAAACCAAGGTGGGAAGAGGGTCTGGAGTGTGAGGGGATGATGGCAAGAGCAGTGAAAAGTTCCTGTCTGTCATCCCATTCTGAAAAAGTGAGTCCTTAAAACCTAAACAATAATAGTAACGGTGGTTGAGTCTTTGACACTAGTTAGACTTCAGATAAGAAAAGGTAGTACTTATGTGTTTCTTCCCTCCAGGCTTATTCCCTCCTGTTAGAAGCTCACTATATCTCTGTAGTAGTACTGAGGAGATGAGAAAAGTGTTTTTTTTTTTTTTTTTTTTTTTTTTTTTTAAGTCAGCAAGGCAACCTAACAGATCAAGGCAGTCATCTTTGAAATTTTGCTGCAAATCTGGAGGAACAGGGTTGTCTAAATTCATTTCTTCACTAGCCCAAAGGGCTATATTGAACAAGTTCAAGGCTCCCCTGCAGGAGTCCTTCATAGATCTACAGAGATGTGATTAAAATTGTGAGCTGCCTGTCCAGAACTCAAATTGTTCTCTATCATGACAGCTGTATGGCCCTGAGCAGGTTGCATACCTTTCTCTGCCTTGGTTTCTCCATCTATAAAATAGTGATCCCACTTTATGCAGTAAGATCACCATTGGTAGGTGCCATGAATTAATGTGTTTGCTTTTACGTAGCATGGTGCCCAACAGTGTCAGCACTCAATACATCTTGGCAAATTTTGTTTTGTTGTTTTGGTTTCTCTGACCTACTCTGTACATAGAACTAGGGGTATCAGTTCAGACTCTATAAAAAGTACCAGAGATTATCCTCATAAATTTATAAACTACATAAATTTATTTCTTATGGCGTTAGAGGCTGAGATCAACTTGTCAATGTGTTTGAGTTCTAGGGAAGGACAGGTTGCAGACCTGTCTTTCTTATTATATCCTCACAGGGTCGAAAGGGGGCAAGCTGGTAGGTTCCTTTAAAAGGGTGCTAATTCCACACTCATGACCTGATTATCTCCCCAAAGCCCTACCTTCAACTATTACCATGTTGGGGATTAGGATGTCAATGTGAATTTGAGGTGCCCATACACATTCGGTCCATCATGAGGGACAGTGAAAGGAACAGGACAGAAATTAAAAAGAAAAGGGAAGAGTGAGAGAAAGACAAGGATGCAGAATCATAAGAGTAATGTGTGTGGATCCCCCAAAATGGCCCACAGGGACACACTTGCTTTGGACCTGTCCAAATGATACCTCCTATTGTCCTAATTTTGTGTCCTTTCCCCTCATCACTGTCATAGATGTTAGTGCATTTTTTATTGAGATGATAAGATTATTCTTCAGAGTCTAAAAACTTACTTTTGAGAGCTAGTTTTTTTTGAAGGAAAAAATAATTCACTATAACTCTTCCATAAACCAATTCTTTAACTGTAAAAAATAATTAAGAACTTCTATGTCATATAATATTTCCTGAAAATTAGTCCCATAGAACATATAATACCTTTTTACCCACTTCAAGTTTGATTATTTATTGGTACTGGGGATTGAACCCAGGAGCACTTCACCACTGAATGTCATCCCCAGTCCTTTTTATTTTTTATTTTTTTAATTTGAGACAAGATCTTGCTAAGTTGCTTAGGGCTCCACTAAATTGCTGAGGTTGGACTCCAACTTGTGATCCACCTGCCTCATCTTTTCAAATCGCTGGGATTTCAGGTGTGTGCCATCATGCCAGGGTCAGGTTTTTGTTGTTGTTACTTTGATAAATATTAAACACAGAGAAGTTCTACTTCATACCATTAGAGTTAAAACATGTCAGATACCTGCCAGTTTTTATTTTTACTTATGAGAGGTAATTACATAGATCTAAAGTGACCTAATAATTCTTTAAAATAGGGCTTCTAAAATAGTATTTAAAAAACAAAAGATTTACTACTGAAGATCTGTTTTAAAAAAATTTTTATTAGTTGTTGATGGATCTTTATTTTATTTGTTTATTTATATGCAGTGCTGAGAATTGAACCCAGTGCCTCACACATGCTAGGCAAGCACTCTACCACTGAGCCACAATCCCAGCCCAAGAGCTATTTCATTCTTTAGTGTGATATAACAAAAAGCTGATGTGTGGCATTCAAATCCTGATGTGAAACCTGTCTCTCTCTTTCACTTTATTTTACAGTTTGAAGAATGGAGTTGTATGTACTTAGTTCTCAGGGTGGTTGCAAGAGTTCAAGAGAAAGTTTTAGAAAGTTCACCAGGTGGTGGGTACTATAAGCATTTCTTTCTACAATCCTGCCCCATGTTTGATGCTTTTTGTTCTTTAAGGTAATTCAAAAACAGAAGAGTGGAAGTAGCAGAGGCCAATTAAAGTTCATTGGCTTTTCTGGCATATTTCATTAATGACTTTACTTTTGCACAGTAATGACTGGACCTTTGCAGTAATCCCTCAGTTACTTAGAGAAAGCCTCACCTGTATTGGTCTTCAGCAGGCAGTACCTGCCAGAGATAAAGACTGTTGAAACATGAGAGGGCAGCAGAGAGTCAGAGATGCCCCAGCCATGCCTATATGGGGATGAGGACACACTGTTTTTGGAGTAAGGTCTTGTTAAGTGGCACAAGGTCCGTCCTTTTGATCATTTGTTTGGGGTTTTGTTTTGGAGGGTGGAACTGGGGACTGAACCTAGGGGCATTTTAGTACTTTACCACTAAGCTATAGCCCCAGTCCTTTTTACTTTTTTTTTTTTTTTTAAATAAATTTAAGACAGGGTGCAAAATTGCTGAGTCTGGTTTTGAACTTTAGATCTTCCTGCCTCAGCCTTCAGAGTCACTGGAATTGCCGACATTAGCCACTATGCCCAGCAGCAAGCATTTCATTTTTAAATGACAGTAAGAAAAGAATTCTGCAACTATCTCATAAAACCTTGTCATGTCTTCATGTCTTCACAGTATTACTTTCAGTATGTTTCTGAATTTCCATATTTTAATCCTCTGTATTTAATCATCTTTAATTTGGATATTTTCATGCAGGAATGTAACTCAGAGAAAAGCTATTTAAATTTCTTTCTTTGGAAGATGTGAAGACTGAAATCTAGTGAGTCAAAAATCTACTTGGTGGCGCTCTGAAAATAAATATATGGTTCCATTTCCCCTTCTTACATCCTTATAAAATAAAATAACTTATCAGACTCTTAGAATTATGTTTTTCAGGAAAGTAAAAGAAATATTAAAAAATATTAATTTCTGAGTAATAGATGTAGCATTTGTTTTTTGTACATGGACTTGAAAATTAGAAAAAATATTGTCCCAATTTCTCATTGGATATGTGTTTATGGTTAGAGTTATTTTAATTATATTCACTGATTATCCTAGAGGCAGAAAAATGGGTAGCCTAAGGCTTTGGACTTGGGACTTTGGAGAAATACAAGTTCTTATACTCAGGCAATATAATTAGTGCAATTGCTTTTCCTCTACTGTAGAGGGCGACACACAATGCCATGAGGAGCATAAAACACCACAAAAGTAGTTTCAGTCAGGAAAAGAGTATGCATTAAGTTTCTGTTCCACTTCATATTTTTTAACCCTGAAAACTCATGGCTCTATTAAAAAACTGAGTTTATTACAATAGAATTTTTGTCAATCTGTAAAGCAGAGTATTAAAAAGAAAACTATCCAAATACTAGTCAGTTAAAAGACGAGAAGAAATGTAACTGTGTTTGTTATTGATCTAAAACACAAATAATTTCTAAGACTGAATAAGAGGTGAAAAACACAACAAAGACATTCAACTGGAATAGTTATTTTCTTATTATCTGAACTAATCATTTAATACTTTGAGCTTAAAGAAAAGAAACTAAGTATGTCATGGTGACAGTAATGATGCTAACACTTATTTAGATCTGCCTGTAAGTCTTTGTATCTGTAACAAACACTATATATAACATAATACATCATATACAAAATAAAAATATATATGTTTACCTGTATCTGAGATTATAGTTTGGAGCAAAAGCCACATAAAGAAGGAAGACGGGACCTATGTGTGAGAGATGCACAAGTCCTGAGAAGACACTAACCCTGTTAAGTCAGTATGTAAGGACAGAAGGCCACGTAGCCCATCTCCTTTTCAGCCACTCACAGGCACTGGCTGCCTCCTGTAATCCTTTTTTAAATTTTGTATTCTTTTTAGTTATACTGACAATAGAGTGTATTTTAACATATCATGCTAACATGGAGTCTAATTTCCCATTCTTCTTTATGATGTGGAGTTACACTGATCATGTATTCATATAGGAACATAGGAAAGTTATGTCCAACTCATTCTACTGTCTTTCCGACTCCCATCCCCGCTAACCCCCGCTCCCTTCCTGCAGTCCTTTTTATTTCTCCTTTAGTAAGAGCAAAGATTGTGACAATGCTTTAAAAACTGTGACGAATGAGTGCTCAGTAAGATTTGTTAGGATGCACTTGAAAAATGCTGATGATGTATCATGTTTAATAACTTTAATTTTAAAAAATCAAGATTGTAGCTGTGCCTGATTATAAATTGACTTGTTTGGAGTCTTACTTGTTTTACTTTCATACTTAATACAACTAATGACTGTCAGATATTCCAAAATTTTAAATTAAATTTTACTTTTATAAAAATTCCACATGGAAAAGACTTTTCTGGAGGAAAAAAATGCATAGTTGCTTAAATGCATAGTGTGTGACTATTTATTAGTTAAACCTATTATCTCTTGGATCAGTAAATGTCTATTTTCTTTCTTACTAACACAACTTATTTTATAACTTGTTTTGCCTTTCTCTGCTTTTATTTTGATAAGTAAAGTTATACCTATTAGTATAGAAAAAGACCAGATCTGACAAGTGACTTTTTGACTGGGAATTGATGAAAGTTTTATAATGTGTTAAGAGTAGTGAAAACAAGTGATATGGCATAATTATGGGGAAAATAAGTCTATCTCAATTGCTTAAATATCTGGTTTGGATACTTTCTTATAACTTTAGTTGAAATAAATGAATGTTACTAAATGTTTGTTTTGTTATCACAGCAAAAACATTTAGTCCAGCCATTTAAGTTGAATTCAGCTGTCCTATGACCACCTGTGTAATTTTGGTTGATTTACTTACATTCACTAAGTTTTGTTTTTATCACCAGTAAATTCTAAGTCAGTGCTTGACATAATGCTTGGTACCCAGGATATATTCATAAAATATTAGTTATCATTATTAATGTAACTTTATTATTAGTGACATTATCCATCTGGTCAAAAGATGTTTTATAAGCACCTTATATAAGGTATGTAACAAATTAGGTGTGTTGGAGTGAAAGTGACTCTGGCTTTAAAGGATTCACAATCTAGGGGAGAAGGAATTATAAATAATTAATACTTGCTAATATCATGATTGAAGTTTCTTCAAATAATATGTATTTGAAGGCAAGGTGAATGGTTCTACCTAGGAAGAGCTCTCTGCTAAACTTCTAAGAATATGGTATTCTTCATGTGGTAAGGTAAAGATTACCTCGAAGCAGAACCAATAAGAGTGAGATGTGGAAGCATGATCAGGCTATTGGGAACAAAAAAGGACAAATGGAGTTAAAAGTATATAGAAGCAACTAAAGATAAGCCTCCAAAATTAGATTAAAGCAATCTCATTGGAGTCCTATACCAAGAATAGTGGACTTCCTTTTATGGGCAATGGAAAATCATCTATTAATACTATTTATTTATATATTTATTTATATGATCCTGGGGTTCAAATCCAAGGCCTTATACAGGTTAGGCAAGCACTTTACTAAGGGGGTATACATCCAGCCCCATCAATTAATTTTAAGCAGAGAAACAAATAAGCCTTTTAGAGTGACCACATCTGGAAATAGCATAGGCATTGTAATATGTCTCTAACCTGGGGTGGTAGCATCAAAAGAGAGGTGAGGGTATAGATTCACAACTCTTTTCTGAGAAACAATTAAAACTAGTTAGGAGTTGATCAGATTGGAGAATGAGGAAGAAGTAAATAGTGAGATCATATATACAGATGTCAATCACAGTATCATGAATATACATAAAATATTTAAAACAACCCAAATGTTAAATAATATCAGAATTCTATTTAGGTATTAAAAATCTTATTCTAAAAATGATTTATTTATGAAAAATATTTAATAATATAGAAAAAGGTTTTCATTTTAAGAAATATATTATGGACATTGGATTCAATTTAAGACAGGTTTAGATGTTGATTAGTGATTGGCAAGGGCAGATAGTACTCTTTTGCACAGAATCTGGTGAATGATATTTAAGTATTTCTCAGGATTCAGTTATCAACCTCTTATGACCTAAAAGAGGTTCTGCTGAGAAATTGTCTAATCATATTTCAATATTAAGGTGCCAGAATTGAGCATGAACTATATTTCCAAATAATATTTCTTGGATAGAGCAGCACTCTACTGATTATTGAGTCTATGGCAGGACCCTTCTGTTATTCTCCAACTGGTCAGAAAAGCTACCATGTTTTCAGAGAATCTAAATGTCACCACCAAAGTCCACTCTGCCCAGTATCCCTTCCTTATTTCCCTGAGTTTTAGAAAGGGCAAAACTTCTCAAACCTGCCTGATCCAAGGAATCCCCATGGGATATTTAAAAACCAACACAGAAAGACTGGTTCCCAAACATTGCAGAACAGAATTCTTGAGATAAGATTCAGAATCTGGATTATTAACCAGTGATGCCAGGTGGAAAATGGGATGGGCCACATTTGGGAGAATAAAAGATATTGAGTGCAGCAGGTGAGAATGCTGTCTGTGCACAGTGTTTGTTGTCTTTGAGTTGCCAGTAATTTGTTGGAAAATTTCTGCCTCCCTGAAAAACGCATATAGTGACACCCACGCCCCCACCTAACAAACGGCGCAGTCTAGGATACATGAGATAATGGATGACAAGTGCTCCGGCAACTGGTAGAAAGAAATACAAGGTGATCTTATTATCTGGCACCCCCGTCATCACGGTCGTCATCATCAGGGTCATCATCTCTATTATCTCTCAAAATGTATACAAGATTTTAATTAGAGCACTGCTCCACTCCTAGAAGAAAATGGAGCCTCGTGTCCACGTTTGTGAATGGGGGTAGGAGTGATTTAGGGAAATGTTATGTTTGGTAACTGTATTCTTTTTTGTCTTTGCAAACACAGTACCAAGTCGCCTGAAAAAAAAAAAAAAAAGGAAAATAAACAACAAAAGCAGCATTCTTCAGTCACTCCCTTTTATCCACTAAGTGCTTCCTACCCGTATGAGCCTAGAAACTATTCTAGGCATAGTCAGAAATACAAGACTGTGGTGGGCCAACTGAAAATTCCTTTGGGGCTAATTTCCCAAATTTTACTGTTTAAATGTTACACTGAATTACCTATCTCTGCAAAGAAATAGAGTTCACTCATGGTATGCTTTCTTTTATTATCTCAAAAGTGCTTTAAAAATCAGTTGAATATATTACTAATACTAACAAAAACTAACATTTACTGACATTTGGTATGAACTAAACACTGTAGACATGCCATATTTTTAAAAAATACAGTAATCAGAAGAGATAAACACTGTACTATTCCTGCGTTATAGACGAGAAAATAGGTTAGAGAAGTAAAATAACTTGATCAAAGAAATATAGCTAATGAAGTACTAAGTGTAGATTAAGCTTGACTCACAGAACGTTAAGTAATTTCTCCCCCTAAATTTATTGACATAGACACCAAAACTTTGCAAGCTGTTGTATCTACCGCCCCATAAAAAAGTTATTCCCTGGGGATGTTGGACCTTCCCCACCTCCCCAACCCTGCTTCTTTCCTTTTCCCTTTCTTTATTTTCTTTTTTGTTTTGAGAGTAGAGAATAAATCTATGCCATCTTTTGCTGAACATATATGGATGGAGGGTAGGACTTAGAGAGGGAAAAGATCTATTGATGCAGAGAATCCCTTTGGGAACCCCTAAGAAATCAGTTCTATTAGTGAAGTGAAGGACTCCTGCCTAGGGCATAGAGTCCTTCAGGCACTCATCAGTCTCTGCTGTTCTCTTCATGATTCATCTGTTGTGACCTGAGTGCTCAGGGCCAGAGTATCAACCAGCCAGGGTTCCGTCTGTGTGAGAAGTGAGGCAGATGAAGAATTTCA